GACTTGGACTAATATCAAATTTAATTACAAAAAGAAAACAAAATTTACTACTAAAATTGATAATATAATTAAGTAATATATTAAAAACTTTATTAGATTAAATATAAAAATTGATACAATTTTTATATTTTCTATTTTGCTACTTTTACCAACTTTATATTAAAACACAATTTTATTTTATTATTTAGTTAATTTATTTACAAAATTTTAAAAATATTTTTATTATCAAATTAAGAAAATCTTTATTTACAAAAATTATTTAATTGTATTATCTGAACCTTCCTCTACATTAACAAACATATCTTCAGCTACCTCTTCCAACCCTTCTCTTCTTCTACTCTCATTATAAACTTTTCTTTCTCTTTCTTGATGAAGCTCCTCTTCTGCATCTTCTAATTTTGCTCGAAGTCTATTTCTCTCTATTACCAATTGATCATATTGTTGTTCTTTTTGCCAATTTCTTGCAACTGAGTCTATTATTGTTTCTTGCTGATCTTCAATAGTTCTATTTAACCCAGCAATTTGGTTATTTAAGAATCTAATTTGCTTTCTTAATTCTTGAATTTCTCTTGCCAATCTATTATATTATATTAAATTATTCTTATTATTATTCTTATTATTATTATTATTATTATTTTATCAATATCAACATCACTTCTTTTATTTAAATACAATATAATTACTACTATTATTATTACCTTCTGTTTGTAGCTTGAACAAAGTACAAAGCTTTATAAAGAGCTTGGATACCATCTTTTTCTTGAGCTCGAGTATGTTGACGTAAAGTAGAATATCACATTTTAAAAAAGTTATTATTATTTGAAAACTGTTAAAAAAAATTTTTTGTCAAAACAAAGATTATGCAGTATAATGTATACTCCCTTTAAATATAACAAACTTTAATTTGGATCACATGAAAAATCTTAATCTTAATGGATACTTTGATTAGAAAATTGATATTTAAAAACTATATGACAAAAATTTTATAATTATATCTACTATAGTAAAATGGTGAAGGCATATAGCCATTGTAGGGTTGTGTGTTCAAATCCTGCTAGTGGACTTGTTAACTCTGCCAACCTAGGGGTCATGATAATGCACTAGCACTATAGTAAATTTTTTATAACTTTTTAAAGCAAAATTTTTAAAAAAGTTTTATTAATATGTCGATGATTAGTAAATTAAAAACAGAAGATTATGAACAATTAATTTATTAGTTATCTATTATTTATTATTTATTATTTATTATTATTTATTATTTATTATTTTTTTGTTATTAGTATTTTCAATTATTATATCTTTCTTATGGGCCTAGTATAATATGGTGTCTAAGACAGTTTAGAGTGATGGTTAGAGCTCTATTCACTTTTCTTATTCATTATTTTTCTTATTTGTTATTTTTCTTATTTACTTTTCTTATTTGTTATTTTTATTTACTTTTCTTAGTTGATATTTTTATTTACCTTTCTTAGTCATTATTTTAAGAAAATTTTATGAATTAGGAGGAACAAAAGAACATTATTAAGAATGTATTTAAACTTTGGAAATTATATTTTATATCTAGGGAATATGAGCTCTATATATAACTCTACTACTTAAACCTTGGATAAGTTGAATATGAAAAGATTTATATTTAAGGAACATGAGCCTTAACTACAACTACGCCATCCAAAATTCAAGTAAAGTTGGATATAAAATGGATATTATTTTTCACATTTAGGGAATATGAGCTCTATTGACAACTTCGCCATTCAAGATGAATAAAGTTGAATGTGAAACAGTAATAAAACAACACGAAAACTTCTTAAGGAGCAAATAATTAAATTTTATTTATAAAAAAAAAGAAGAAAGAAACAAAAGAAAGAAAAGTTTATGCTGAGAGTAGGAGAAGAGAAGGGTTGGAAGAGGTAGCTGAAGATATATTTGTTGATGCGGAGGAAGGTTCAGATAATACAATTGAATAATATTTTGTAAAAGATTTTTCTTAATTGATAATAAAAATATTTTTAAAATTTTGTAAATAACTTAATTAATTATATATCAACTTTAGTAGTAAATTTGGTTTTCTTTTTGTAATTAAATTTTTTATTAGTCCAAGCT